AGCAGGGGCTAGTAACCCTTTCTCCTGTATATATTACTAAATTTGAAAGGAGAAACTTTGGTTTTTTCTTTTGGGCCACCCCGCCTCGGTGGGATACGGCCGGTGTGTTGAAAGAAAGAAGAAAGATATATATATATATATATATATATATATATATTTATATTATATTATATATTATATATATATATATATATATATATATATATATATATATATATATATACAGTGGACCCCCGCATAGCGAACTTAATCCGTGCAAGAGGGCTGGTCGTTATGCGAAATGTTCGCTATGCGAATTAATTTTCCCATAAGAAATAATGGAAATAAAATTAATCCGTGCAAGACGCCCAAAAGTATGAAAAAAAATTTTTTTTACCACAAAAAATGTTAATTTTAGTACACACAAACTGAAAAAGGCATGCACAATTACATGACACTTACTTTTATTGAAGATCTGGTGATGATTGATGGGATGGGAGGAGGGAGAGAGAGTAGTGTGTTAGTGTTTAGAAGGGAAATCCCCTTCCATTAGGACTTGAGGTAGCAAGTCCTTTTCCGGGTTACTTCCCTTCTTCTTTTAATGCCACTAGGACAGCTTCAGAGTCACTGGACCTCTGTCGCACAACAAATCTGTCCATAGAGCTCTGTACCTCCCGTTCCTTTACGATTTGTCTAAAATGGGCCATAACATTGTCATTGAAGTAGTCACCAGCACGGCTTTGCAACAGCTGTGTCAGGGTGATTTTCATCCATAAAGGTTTGCAGTTCAACCCACTGTGCACACATTTCCTTAATTTTTGAAGTAGGCACAATGGATTCCACAACTGGCATAGGCTTCTCAGGGTTAGCCCAAACCCTTCAAAATCTTTCTTAATTTCCATACTAATTCTCAACCCTTTTTACCACAGGGTTGGCACTAGAAGCTTTTCTTGGGGCCCATGGTCACTTATTTTCCAGAAACAGCCCCGAAAACACTGTAATAATACGAAATATTCCGAGTGTATGCTTGAATGTTACCGCGGAGGCTGGCGGGTAAAAAATGGACGCGTCTCGGACGAAGGTCGCTGAGCGGTTTTTGTCCACTTGGGGGGAAAAATTTTGGCGAACAAAGCGTTCGCTATGCGGATTGTTCGCTATGCAAGGCGTTCGCTATGCGGGGGTCCACTGTATATATATATATATATATATATATATATATATGTATAATTATATATGTATATACACACACACCGGAATTTTCTTCTGTTTAATTAATAGTTCTTGTTCTTTATTTACTCTTATCTCCATGGAGAAGTGGAACAGAATTCTTCCTCTGTAAGGCATGCGTGTTGTAAGAGGTGACTAAAATGCCAGGAGAAAGGGGCTAGTAACCCCTTCTTCTGTATACGTCATTAAATTTAAAAAGAGAAACTTTTGTTTTTCTTTTTAGGTTACCTTGCCTTGGTGGGATACAGCGGGTTTGTTAAAAAAAAAAATATCGCTCTGGGGAGTTTTAAATGTCATATATTTCATATAAATGTGGTAACCGGGCTAACTGCCACACCTGACTTCCTGCAGTAAATGCTACTCACCTCTCACTCTACATTAACACTACGAATATTTTAAGGTGAGTATTGAGTGTTCCGTACATCTATTTAATTTTTTTTTTTCCTTTTTTTAATACATGGTTCTATTGCAAATTTAATATTTGTTTGTGTAAAAACGTTATCAGGTACACCTACCATCCAACTTATGACCGAGCTTGGTTCCGACCACCCAGACACGCACTGGACCCCTGGATTACGTCGTCATTGGAATACATAATATTCGGAATAAGTAATGTTTTTTCGTCAAAATATTGGCTCTGTGAACGTCACTGAACTTGGTACGAGTCACTCATCCAGAATGTGTCCGCATGGCCTGAGCAGCCCAGACACTCCATGTACAGCCAGTGTGCCATTGTTTACCAGCCAGTGAGGACGATCCCACTCATTCATATGATACATTTTGTATTATTCCATTCTTTTTAGTGCTTGTAACTGCTAGATAAGCCACCATGAGCCCAAAGAAAGCTTTTAATGCCAGCCGTTTGGTAAAGAGGGTGAGAAACACTATAGAATTCAAGAAAGACATCATTGCAAAATATGAAAGTGGAGTGTGTGACACGCTGGCCAGGCTGTATAACAAACTCCATACAACCATCTCTTCTATTCTGGCCAAGAAAAAGGAAATCAAGGAAGCTGTTGTTGTGAAAGGTGCAAATATGCTTACAAAACAGATTACAAATACTGGAAGATGTGGAGACTTTGTTGTTGGTGTGGATCAACGAGAAACAATTATCAGGAGACAGTGTTATGCAGTAAATAATGTGAAAAGGCAAGGCAGTTGCACGATAATCTCGTAAAGAAAATGCCTTGAACTAGTGCTGATATTGGTGAATTTAAGGCCAGCAAAGGATGATTTGAGAGATTTAAGAATCATAGTGGCATACACTGTGTGATAAGCCAAGGTGAGGCTGCCAGTTCTGACAAAAAAAAGTGGCTGAAAAATATGTTCAGGAATTGAAGGGGTACATAGACGCTGAAAAATTCAAACCCCAACAAGTGTTCACTTGCGATGAAACAGGCTTCTTTTGGAAGAAAATGCCAAAGAGGACTTACATTACTCAGGAGGAAAAGGCATTCCCAGAACACAGGCATATGAAAGACAGGCTAACTCCATGTTTTGTAGTAATGCTAGTGGGGATTTCAAAGTGAAGCCTTTACTGGTGTATCACTCTGAAAATCCCAGAGTGTTCAAGAAAAACAGTGTCATCAGGAGTAAATTATGTGTGATGTGGAAGACAAACAGTAGGGTATGGGTCACGAGGGAAATTTTCTTTGATTGGTTCCGTGACGTGTTTGGGCCCAGTGTGAAAAAATGCGTCCTGGAAAATAAGTTGGAAATCAAGTGCCTCATGGTAATGGACATTGCTCCTGCTCATCCTCCAGACTTGGAAGAGCAAATGGTGCAGGAGTTTTGTTTCATCAAAGTGAAGTTCTTGCCCCCCTAATACCACTCCTCTCCTCCAGCCCATGGACCAGCAGGTCATTTAAAATTTAAAAAACTGTACACCAAAGCAGTGTTTCAAAAGTGCTTTGAAGTGACATCAGACACTGAATTGACCCTAAGAGAGTTCTGGAAAGATCAATTCAGTATCCTCAATTGCATAAACCTTATAGGTAAGGCTTGGGAAGGAGTGACTTCCAGGACTTTGAACTCTGCTTGGAGAAAATTGTGGCCACAATCTGTACAAGAGAGGGATTTTGAAGGGTTTGGGGCTAACCCTGAGGAGCCTATGCCAGTTGTGGAATCTATTATGGCATTGGGGAAGTCCATGGGGTTGGATGTGAGTTTGGAGGATGTGGAAGAGTTGGTGGAGGACGAGGAGAGCTGCAAGACCTTCATCTGCAACAACAACAGACCATAGCTCAGGAAATTGCTTCAGAGGAGGAGGAAGAGAGATGGAGGAAGGTGCCTTCTTCAAAGATTAAGGACATTTGTACAATGTGGACAAAGGTGCAAACATTTATGAATGAACATCACCCTGACACAGCTGTTGCAGACTGTGTTGGCAACATGTACAATGACAGTGTTGTGTACAGTTTTAGGGAAGCTTTAAAGAAATGCCAAAAACAGACATCTCTGGAACACTTTTTTGAGTGACAGAGGTCCAGAGATTCTCAAACTGGTCCTAGTGGCATTAAAAAACAAAGAAGGGGAGTAACCCCGGAAAAGGACTTGGTACCTGAGGTGTACTATTGTATGGAAGGGGATTCCCCTTCCAAACAATAATACACCTCCATCCTCTCCCCTCCTCCCGTCTCATCATTCATTAATAAATCTTCAGTAAAAGTAAGTGTCATTTTAGTAATGTTTTATTTTGCATGTCTCATTGTTTTCTGTGTAGAGAAATGTATATTTCATGTAAAAAAAATTATTTTTTTTTTTTTAATACTATTGGGTGTCGGGAATGGATTAATTGGATTTCCATTATTTCTTATGTTGAAAATTAATTCGGAATTCGTCAGATTCGGGTTTAGTCACTCTCTCTGGAATGGATTAACCCGTAAACGGTCCAAACGTCTATTTACGTTTTTACCGCTTGTGCCCCAAACGTATATACGTTTTATGTGTCATACATTTAACATTGCCACGATAAGCCTGAGTCGCCTAGACATGAGAGAATGGGTGTGAGCACTCACTGTGCCCCATATTAAAATAATTGGGGATGCCTGGGTACCATATGCTCTTTTTTCCTATTAGAAAACAACAATATTTTTTTCTCAAAAAAGTTGGGGCAGTACGGTAGTGAACGTATATATACGTTTGGACCGTTTACGGGTTAATTACAAAATCTGGAGGTCCACTGTATGTTGAAATGAACGCAAGTCCAACAACAACACAAACAGTTGTTTATTTGCATACAAAATATTCGTATGCATGAAAACATACGAAAATATTCGTATGCATGAACAGAAAAGTACAAAATAACTTAAGCTAAGCTGTAAACAGTACGGTCGTAAGTATGAGTGGTCATATGTCAAGCAGGTCGTAAGTAGGATGGCAGGTGTATTTATATGCATTTATAAGTGAAAAAGATATGCTTTACTGCAATTTTCACTTGATGGTGGTAACCAGTAACCTAACCTGCCATATAAGCAGTGCCCTGCTATGTATGTGTACATGTATATGTAGTGTGGCCTTTGTGTAAGCAGAAGTAGCAAGATGTACCTGTTTGCTTGCGTGTTTGTGAGACAGAAAGAAAAGAGACCAGTAAGCCTGTCATTGTGTAAAACAGTTACAGGTTTCCATTTCACAAGCATTTGGCCTAACGGTATCACCCTGGGTGATTGTTGTATACCATCCTACTACCATTATTATTATTATTATTATTATTATTATTATTATTATTATTATTATTATTATTACTTTGTTCTATACCTTCTGTATTGAAAAGTAACAGTAATATTATTTTTCAGAATTTGGTGATTAGCAAAACCTGGATAACAAAAAAAGGCACAATACCGTGACTGGAACGATACACAAATAACCCGCACATAGAAGAGAGAAGCTTACGACGATGTTTCGGTCCGACTTGGACCATTTACATAGTCACACTAACCAGAAGTGGAGCACAACGGCTATATATAGGCAGGAAGAGGTAGTGGTGGTGGTGGTAGTAGTGGTAGTAGTAGTAGTAGTAGTAGTAGTAGTAGTAGTAGTAGTAGTAGTAGTAGTAGTAGTGGTAGTAGTGGGGAACTAAGGAGGAGGAGCCAGTCAATATAAAGACAGGGGAGCACTGCAAGGCAGCTAGGTGCCCACAAGGGAACTAGGTGCCCACAAGGGAGCTAGGTGCCCACAAGGGAGCTAGGTGCTGTTACGCCCTTTGTGCATAATTGAAGAAGGGTCAATTGATTAATGTATAATTACGGCTTTTTCACTTAGTATTATATTACTGGTACCTTTATTCATAGCTAAAATAGAGACTCCTAGTTTTATAATATTATCTGGCCATGAATTATTGATTTATTTTGTAGGATGTTTTGTGTTTATATGTTGACTTGCCTTGTGGTCGCTTATGCTTCACAAACTCACTCATTCCGAGGTGACGTCAAGCAAGGGAGTTTTACTCATAGCAGTTCATTCTCACCTCTGGTAGAGAAAGCACCAGGCCATGGAGCTCCCTTATTCTCTTGTTGCAAGTCTCAGGAGAACCTTTGAACCAGGATTCTTAGGTTCAACCAAGGTTGCTTGGATTACTTCAGTCTGGGAATATTTGACGGGTTGTGTCTGTGCTGTCAGCCATTTAGTGAAGCAATACACCACATCTCTGTTCTCCAACCATAGTCTTTAACCAGTTCTAGCTGTAGTGTATATAATTGATTGAGGAGGTGGTATAGGCACCCTATCTAGTGTTTCATTGTTCTTGACATTGCTTATGAAACTACAGTGATTGTGTACATATGAATATATAAGAAAAGGTATACCTAAATTTTATCAACTATTTAAATTACTAAGTGACTCTATAAGCTTAGTATTATACTGAATAAAACCAGATAAATCATTATAGAACTTTTTTGCCTTATATTTATATATGTGTATTTAAAAAGAGTAAGAAGACCTAAGTGGATCTTCACCTGTTGTTACTAACGGGTCTCCTCTCTGAAAAGAAAGACTCAAAACGTAACAAGTGGGGGCCTGTCCGGGAGATATCCCGACTATATCTTCCCAATGGAAGTTCACATACAGCAACTGGTTAATGAATTGACTTTGGATAAGTTAGAGACTTTGAAACTGCAGACGTGCTGGCAGATAGCGAAGCATTTAGGGGTGACATATAACAATCGTTATATCACAGAAACCGTTTGGCCTATTATAAGGAATATCTTATTCCCCATACCTCCTGAAGTTTCTGAGTCACCTGATTCAGAGATCGAAAGTCTAACATCCCAGATGGATCGTATGTCTCGAGTAAACGATCTAGAGGCATCAGGTGGAGCCAGCAAATCAGCCCCTGGAAGTCCTACAAATTCCTTAGTTGCGGAGAGTATGTCAATGCCAGGAGCAGAGGAAATGTCACGTGACAAACTTCCCCCTGAAAGGGAAAATGAAGCAGGGGCTTCTAATAGTCCGTCGCCGACGGACTCATACGTCGCCTCATACGACATGCATGGCTTACAGAGGAAAGATTCTTTTCCACTTCCCCATAGTTAGAATTAAGTATAAGACAAAGTAAATATTCTAAAGCTATAAAATAGTACCTGAATTATTTTAACAAATGTAAAAAATATGAGATAAGGTAGCTCTTAAAGCTAAAATAAATGAGGCAATATAAAAGGGACTAAAATAATTTGTGGTGAACAAAAAAGTGGTAATCAAATAAATGAATATAATGGCAAAATAATGAGCTTATTACACTTTAGCACTTGAGAATAGCACCTTGATTATTTTAACAGCTGTGAATATATGAACTAAAGTTGTTATATAAAGCTAAAATAAAAGAGAGAAAATATCAGGGACTAAATTAAGTAATGGTAAACAAAGTTAAAATGACAGATAGTCACTATGATATAATATTGATTTGGGAGTAAAATCTGATTTGTTATATATAATAAGTTGAGCAATATATTGTACTATAAAAAGTAAAAAAAATAATATGAGGTAGTTGTTACTAGTTAGCAAAAGATAGTTAAGGGCCTTGAACAATGATATAATTGAAATGTACACTAATTGCACACACAATATAGTCACTAAGATATGAATATAATCTTAGAGTAGGATTTGCCTTATAGCATAAAGTTTGAGCAGTTAATATCACTATATGAATATTTTTGAGGTAGTTGGTACTAGCTAGTGAGGGATGGTAAAGGAATTGCACAGTAGTGTAGTAGGAACATACACTAGTTAGTTATTTGTAGTTAGGGAGAAAAGGGGAAAATTTGGTAAGATTATTAGAGAATTTAAACAGGGCTTAAGTAGGAAAGAAAAAGGTAAAACAGATATTAATAAAGAGTAGGTATCCTATTAACAAATAATAATTTGTGAATAGGGAATCTGGGAAAATAACACAAAAGGGGTCACACAAAGAACTGTGTGGGACACATAGGATAATGAGGTAGTAAAATACTATCTTGGAGGTGATAGTACAGGGATTAGTTCAATAATTACATAGTAACATACACTAACGTAATAAGAAATTGGCCACTGATATCAGTCAGACTGTAATGTTTGCATCATGAAGGAAGATTGCTAGATCATTTTCATTTGTAATGTAGTAAACACGGCTTATATTTGTTTTTCTTACTAGAATTTGTCCATCACGTACAAAGCATTATATCATTATTCTCACGTTTCAGTTTTCTCACTCTGTACAGGAAGTTCTGTCGTTTTCTTGTGAGACTCATTTATGTATATATCTTTTTTTGCTTTGATAGATGAAATTATTAGATCTTTTTTCCTGTCTTGTGTGTGAAATCTGAGCATAACACTTTTTCTACTTTGGTTCCCTAGTAACCACGATTCTTTTATTTCCCACACTGGTACATTAACATGTAGGTGGTCACGTATGATCTGGAGACTTGTATCTTTGCAGTTGGAATGGTTTAATTCGCTGGGAAAGAGTGGAGTGTTGATTACTACTGCATCAGATAACTTGTCTTGCTCTGCCTTGTCATCTTGGTTAGCAAAATAATTGTTCAATTGGGTATCCATGTTTATTTTCCAGTCCTTGACGGCATTATCAATCTTCGTGTTTAGGGAAGTTATTTGGTCTGAGTGACTGGCTATGACTGATTGGAAGGTCTTGCCAAAATCAGTCATGCCAGATGATGTTAGCTGTTGTTCAAGGTTGTTGATCTTGTTCTCGGTGAAGTAACTTAGAGACGTATTTTCAGCACGAAGATTTAAGTTATCCGCCGTTAGGGTGGTGATGTAGTGCTTTAGTGTATCAGGATCATTAGTCATACCTGGGAGCATATCAGCTGGGTTAAATCCTATAAAGGCAGTAGAGGTAGAGAGGGAGTCAGTCACGGTTGGTGTTGTTGTGGAGTTGCCTGGGTTGGTGGGTGAGTCGACCATGTTTGTTGTTGTTGATGCGTTGCTCTGGGTTGTAAGGGGGGTGGATGATGCACCGGCGTCCTGCTGGGTCCTCTTATGGAATAGTTGATTTCTAGGTGCTACCTTGCTGTTCTTAGTGCTGTTTCTTCTAGTAGCTGGTCTCATAGTAGTGCAGGAGTTGCTGTGGTTAGATGAAGAGCTTGGAGTAGGTAGTCGTCTGGCTGCGGGGCTGTGCTCGGAGATGGAGGGGCAGTCTTCACTTCAATCGATAGTTTATCGGTTTGTAGGTATCACTGTTGATTGTCTTGGGTCATACTGGGTTCTACGTATGTTAGAGCAGTTAAGAGTGCAATTAGGCCATCATAGAAGCGTTGGTGGGCTCTGTAGGTGAGAAAAATAACAGAGCTTGCTGCCTCTGCTGCTGCTGCCGCTGATATAATGAATCCCAACTAGTCATAAGTTTGCCTGTGATACTCCAATATAGAAACTATGTATTGTGCCAAAACAAAAGCATTCACATTGCTAAAATCACAAACTAGTATTAAGTCACTTAGCCATAATACCAACTTACTCCATAATTTGTAATAATTTAAAGTTAAGAATTAATCAAAGTCTGCTCAAAATGCCTAGCCATGCTAGGTGTCCTAGTGGCCCCCTCTGTAATTAGTAGTTTATTATGTACATGTAAACCACACAATAACCAAAATCTGTAAACCCCGCATTGTAATCCTTATAGAGAATAAACTTGATCGATTGATAATATTCTATGACATTTAAGCATCCCAGAGTGATAAACTGCTTATACAGTTCACTCATTACTTACCTTAAAATATTTGTAGTCTTAATCTAGGGTGAGATGAGTAGCATTTATTGTAAGAAATCAAGTGTGGTATGCATGGTAGTCAGCCGGGCTACCATACCAGGCCACCCCACCTACACACAATATTCTATGACATTTAAGCATCCTAGAGCGATAAAATGCATATACAGTTCACTCATTACTTACCTTTAAATACTTGTAGTTTTAATGTAGGGTCAGGGGTGAGTAAACGAGATAAAATGAATAAATGAGAGAGAGAGAATGAGTACATGAGAGGACACTCACGGAGTTTTGTTAACAAACCAAGCAAACACGTCTGGTTTGTGTACAAGTTACATTGTGTACAAGTTGTCTCTACATTGATATAGTAGAATAAATAAAGAGGAACACTCCCATTCTCATGAACACCATTTTTAAAAGAAATGACGCTCTGAGTGAAGGCAATGAGGCCTAGTCACAGACCGGGCCACAGGGGCGTTGACCCCCGGAGCTAACTCCAGGTAAACTCCAGGTAATGGAAATAAGTCACTCTGTATGATTTTTTTGGGTTATCCTAAGTACTTTACACATATGCTGCTACATATGATAATCTATGTAACTGTATCTGTGTATACCTGAATAAATTTACTTACATACGAAAGAAATAATTTTCTACAGTTACCCCCAGTAACACATTTTCTCTTATGTTGGACTAGAGAAAATGTTATTATTGCCGTCACTCGTACAAGTCATCTGGCTACCACATCTCATATTTATGTTCATTTATTTTACTGTGGGGTGTATTTATCATCTTTATATGTTATGTATCGTGTTTATTATATACAGTGGACCCCCGGTTAACGATTTTAATCCGTGCAAGAGGGATAATTGTTATGCGAAATAATCGTTATGCGAATGAATTTTCCCCATAAGAAATAATGGAAATAAAATTAATCCGTGCAAGACGCCCAAAAGTATGAAAAAAAATTTTTTTTACCACATGAAATGTTAATTTTAATACACACAAACTGAAAAAGGCATGCACAATTACATGACACTTACTTTTATTGAAGATCTGGTGATGATTGATAGGATGGGAGGAGGGGAGAGCATTATCTTCTTACTGTTTAGAAGGGGAATCCCCTTCCATTAGGACTTGAGGTAGTAAGTCCTTTTCTGGGGTTACTTCCCTTCTTTTTTTAATGCCACTAGGCCAGCTTCAGAGTCATGGACTTCTTTCGCACAAGATATCTGTCCATAGTGGCCTGTACCTCTCGTTCCTTTATGACTTGCCTAAAGTGTTTCACAACATTGTCAGTGTAATAATCACCAGCACGGCTTGCAATAGCTGTGTGAGGGTGATTTTCATCCATGAAGGTTTGCACTTCAAGCCACTTAGCACAGATTTCCTTTATCTTTGTAGTAGGCAACTTCTTCAATTTCTCTCTCCCCTCCTCTGAACCAGTTTCCCCAGGTCTGGCCTCTTGCTCTTGAGTTGATCTATCAGCTCATCAGTGGTTAGTTCTTCATTGTCCTCCTCCCCCAAAACTCTTCCACATCCTCCCCCACTAACCTCCAACCCCAAGGACTTTCCCAATGCCACAATGGATTCCTCAACTGGCACAGGATTCTCAGGGTTTAGCCTAAAAACCCTTCAAAATCCCTTTTGTCTACACATTCTGGCCACAGTTTCTTCCAAGCAGAGTTCAAGGTCCTCTTAGTCACTTCCTCCCAAGCCTTACCTATAAGGTTTACACAATTGAGGATATTAAAGTGATCTCTCCAAAACTCTCTTAGAGTCAGTTGAGTTTCTGAGGTCATTACAAAGCACCTTTCAAACAGGCTTTTGTGTACAGTTTCTTGAAGTTGGAAATAACCTGCTGGTCATGGGCTGCAGGAGAGGCGTGGTATTAGGAGGCAAAACTTCACCTTAATGAAGCTCATGTCCCCATAAAGTCGCTCTGCCACGTCTGTAGGATGACCAGGGGCATTGTCTAACACCAGGAGGCACTTAAGTTCTAATTTCTTTTCAGTTAGGTAATTTTTCACATTGGGGGCAAATGCATGGTGTAAACCAGTTATAGAAAAATTCCTAGTGACCCATGCCTTACTGTTTGCCTCCACAGCACACACAAATTATCCTTGAGGACATTCTTTTGTCTGAACGCTCTGGGATTTTCAGAGTGATACACTAATAAAGGCTTCACTTTGCAATCACCAGTAGCATTGGCACACATCAACAAAGTAAGCCTGTCTTTCATAGGCTTATGTCCTGGGAGTGCCTTTTCCTCCTGAGTAATGTAGGTCCTGCTTGGCATTTTCTTCCAGAACAGGCCTGTTTCATCACAATTAAACACTTGTTCAGGTTTCAGTCCTTCAGTTTCTATGTACTCCTTGAATTCCTGCACATATTTTTCAGCCGCTTTGTGGTCCGAACTGGCAGCCTCACCATGCCTTATCACACTATGGATGCCACTACGCTTCTTAAATCTCTCAAACCAACCTTGCTGGCCTTAAATTCACTCACATCATCACTAGTTGCAGGCATTTTTTTAATTAAATCCTCATGCAACTTCCTAGCCTTTTCACATATGATCGCTTGAGAGATGCTATCTCCTGCTAGCTGTTTTTCATTTATCCACACCAATAAGAGTCTCTCAACATCTTCCATCACTTGCGATTTTTTGTTTCGAAAACACAGTTGAAACCTTTGGCAAGAACAGCTTCCTTGATTGTCTTTCTGGTGCCCACAATAGTAGCGATGGTTGATTGGGGTTTCTTGTACAGCTTGACTAGGTCGGCTATACGCACTCCACTTTCATACTTATCAATTATCTCTTTCTTCATTTCTATAGTAATTCTTACCCTTTGAGGTGTAGGGTTGGCACTAGAAGCTTTCTTGGGGCCCATGGTCACTTATTTTCCAGAAACAGCACCGAAAATACTGTAATAATACGAAATATTCCGAGTGTATGCTTGGATGTTACCGCAGAGGCTGGCTGGTAAACAATGGGATGGGCGGCACATGTGAGGCTGGCTGAGGGCACATTGGACGCGTCTCGGACGAAAATCGGTGAGCGGGTTTTTAATCGGTATGCGCGGCAAAAATTTTGCGATAAAAGTAATCGGTATGCGGAAAAATCGCTATGTGATGCCATCGTTATGCGGGGGTCCACTGTAATTTGAAAAAATATCAAAGACGGATTAACCCTTTCAGGGTTGGCGCCATACTAGTATGGCTTGCACGCCAGGGTTGGTGCCGTACTAGTACGCATAAATTCTAGCGCCTTCAGATCTAGTGAGAGAAAGCTGGTAGGCCTACATATGAAAGAATGGGTCTATGTGGTCAGTGTGTACAGTATAAAAAAAATCCTGCAGCACAGTGCATAATGAGAAAAAAACTTTGACCGTGTTTTTGGTTTAAAACAGCAACTTTGCAATGTATTTTCGTATGCTATTTATGGTTGTATTCTAGTTTTCCTGATCTCATTTTAGAGAGTGGAAGACATATTACAGAAATTGAGATGAAAAGAAAAGGACCTTCAAATTGAGCTCAAAGTAGCAGAAATGTTCGATTTTTGCCAAAGTTCAAAAGTAAATAAATCATGCCATGCGTCCAATACACGTCAACTGGAGATATTCTGATATTCTTTCGCAAGTGCACTGATATTATT